GCATGTGCAGGACATTTTTGTAGTGCCATGCAGGCAAGTTAGAGAAGAGCAGCAAGAAATGAGGTCTCCAGTGGGCATGGGAATCCCTTCCCATCCCTCTGTGAGCAGGGCTCATGGCTGGGCTTGCCAGAGGAAAAGCTGATGCTGGTGGGCACGGACCCAACCCTCCAGGACCCAGGGAGGTGGGGTTTTAGGGCCAGTATTTGCAGGACACAGAGATGAGCTGCAGGAATAAAAGCACGTCCCCCCTGACTCATTAACACACCCAAAGCTTGCACTTCACAGGGCACGGCTCTGACACACTTTTATTGTGCTGTGGTAGATGCACTATTTCAAGACTGCCCAGTTTTTGAAGTAGGCTAAAACTCTCCTGATTATCTGATATCCTTGGAGAATAGAGCATGTTTTTTTCCTGTTGCTATGTACAGGAGTATCTTTCTTTCATTCTTTCACTCAGCTTTCACTCTAGCTGGGTGTTGGCTCAAGGCATAACTGCAGCCTATTTAGAAATATTTTCCCAGTAGAAGGTTTGTTTGTGAAATCCTGGTTTGGGAAATAGTCAAATGGCTGGACATTTTGTAATTATACTTGTAATATTGGACACCTCATACAGATTTCTCAGGTGGCTGTTTTGCTTGTCATTCAGCTTTAGTTTGTGATAATGTACGTTTCAAGATTCTTTCACTCACCTAGAAAAAGTGGCTAAAAAGCAGTGTCCTTTTTCAGGCAGCAGAGAACCTAAGCATGGTCATCAAGGAGTCTATACATTATTCACAAAGTATATTCAGAGTGTAGTTTTCAAATACAGTTAGATTTTCTTCTTGGGCACCTCACTACTCCCCTCAAAAAACAGCAAGGAAATAGCAATATTGCTACTTCATAACATGTTATGACAAGTTTGATGGGGTTTGAATGCCATAGAGCATTCAGCTGATGGCTGAGCTATTGGGAAAAGGCCCCTTACTTTTTACTAAAAAAAAAACAAAAAACAAATAAAAAACCAAAAACTGTTGGACCTTATTCCTCCAGAGAAGGTCTTGGACTTGTGACCAAAAGGTACCTAAAAATTTCTGCTTGTGTGTGTATGTGTGTGCATGGGAAACTGTCATTTCTGAGCTTGCCTCATGATAGCTGAATGTGGGGTGGTTATTTTTGTTGGTAATACTATCTGTCTCACAGGGGAGAGGAGAAGCCAGCTCTATTTATAGTTCAGATTCACTGTCAAATGCTATCTTTCACAAGGGTTTTATAAATGCTGTGTGACAGATTCTAAATTGGCACAAGCGAGCAGAAAAAGAAGAACTGTGCCAATTCACGTTAATCGAGAGCGCTGGCAAAACCATCACGAGGGCCAGGCAGTACCCCAGACCCACGGAGCAGCCCTTCAGTGAGCCACCTCAGAGCACTCTGCCAGTGCAACTACTGCTGTGGGTGGCACCCACACTGCACCTCCAGGAAAGCAAACAGCCCCTGTGCAGCACCCCAGCTGCAAAGCCCTGTGCCCTGGGGAGCTGGGGGAGCCCAGCAGAGATGGGGAAAAGGGCTGGATGTGGAGAATACACTCTGCAGCAGGCAGACTCAGGAGATGGGCTTCTTATGCCATAACATTTTATAAACTCATCCTAAAATTAACTCCTATTGGCCACCCCCTTGTGCTCAGTGGGAAAATGTGTATTAGGTGTGCAAAATTAAAGTAATACCATGACAGGAGCAGCTTATTTTCTGTTTTAAAACCAATACCTTGATAATACAGCAGATTTTCTGAAGCACTTCAGTTTCATAGGAACCTGAGGGCAGTTTTATATGTAGATAGATGTGAATGGGGGTTCAGACCCCTGTGTGACCATCTCAGGCTTTTTTCTTCTCTAAACTACCATGGATAAGATGTGGAGCTCCACCACAAAGGAGAATTAGTTAAGTAGAAACCTTTGTGGGAGAGTAAGAGAAAATAGTTTCTTGAAAATAGACTTGTGAAATGAGTGTTAGCCAAATGCACGGAAGATCTGAGGTCTGCTTTCCTGCTAGTCATGTCTTGAATCAAAGCTAGACCCAGTGGGAAATACTCTGAAAGCCACATCCCAGTCTAGCCAGCATCCTTGTGGTTCATCTGGTTAGTCACTCAGCTGTAGGAGACATCTGTTAAGCAAACTCTTATCTAACACTGCAGAAGATCCTAGTCTTTGCAGTGCTTGAGTCAGACCCCTTTGCTGCGAGCTTTTGGCAGTTTCATGGTGGGACAGGCCTAGCAGCTTCTTCTAAAGCTGTTTTCCATTGGCATAGGGAGCATTGATACCACAAGCCCCTTGGACTGCACCTCCTGAACAAGTGTAGAAGCTGAAGGAGCCCCTTGGAAAGCTGTTGTGATGCTTAGATTCAAGCCACTGTTGTTGCTGTTTGTAGCCACTTGCAGATATTCAGGCTGGGACATGGCACTATTCCTAAGAGCTGAACATTTAAGTCACATTGAACATGATTTACTGGGAGAGGAAAAATGTCCCTCTGGTATAGATAAACAGTGATGCAGACACCCACTAAGGAAAATGAGGTTAGTTTTTACCTTTTTACCTTTCCAAGCCTGTCATCAGCACATCCACTGCTGTTTGGCTTTCTTTTCTTACAGGGAGGGATCAGAAATGCTGCCTCTGTGGGCAGCAGTGTTATCTCTTCTGATCTATTGGACAGAATCAGACACTCAGATTCTCTGGGGCTGAGCATAAGTTGGCAGAGTTTTGGCTTGTCTTCCCTTGCCACAAATAAGAGCCTTTTCCTCAAGGGTTAAGCTTTGTTGATTCAGGTGTAGTATTTGCAAATAATGAAAACTATGTTTTGGTATGGAAGAGCATAGTTTGCTGCTGCAGTTTTGGAAACCTTTTCTGCCTTTTCATTTACATTGGGATTGACAAATACATATACATAATCTCTTTAGAACAGTCAGGAATCAATACCTGAGCTCACTCCAGATGTAGCTGTTATTTTCAACAGGGAAGTTTTTTTCCATGTCATACAGCACTATAAAAAGGGATGATCAGTTTTGCCCTTACTAATCTGATCAATGTATTATTTGCCTTTATCCATCCTTCAGCATCCATCAGTTTATTCGTGTACCTTTGCACATTGAATTAGCTTTCTTTTTCTGTGACCAAGAAGGCATTTAAATGTGCAAGTAATTTAATCCATACCTGAAAACACTGGAAAAGCAGTTTCAGGTTGATTTCAAAATATTAGAAATGCTTCAGTCAATAAACTCTTCTTCCATGGAAGTAAAATAATTCTTGCATTTAAGCCCTAAGGACTTTTCACATACTGTCATTCCAAAACTGAACAAATTGAATGCTTACTTGGGCACAGTATCAGACCAGAATTCTAAAGTGTTTTAGCTAGTGGAAATGACTCTTTATTTAGAGCATTTAGTTCTTCATTGTACTACTCAGCATCTTCAAACCCAATGGATCTTATTATTCATGTTAGCTCACTAATTTATTTTCAGGATCTTTCTCAAAATCCTTAACAATTAGTAATTCTTTTTTATAGCAAAGGGCATTTTTAACTATTTTTGTTTCCCTCGCAGCTTGAATGTTGCTGTGTGTGTTTATGAGGGAAAAGTGTTTCTTTATTCCTTTGCTTCAGGATCACTTCTCAGAGTTCACAGCTCAATTTCTCAGGGGCCAGACGAAAGCAGGAGGGTCTCGTGTTGCTGAGATGAGCCAGCTTTGCACTGCTGCTGACCCTTGTCTCTTGGCAATCACCACTCAGCCCCTGGCACCTCATATCTGGTAAAGACAGGATTCAAGGAGATTATTAACTGGCATATACAGTGGCCTGATTTGCACAACATTTGACATTAAAACTGGCCCTTACTCCATCTGTGCTTTGGAGTGGAAACAGGAACTAATTTTAGCAGGTCCTGGCTCCAGGGTGAGCATGGCTGTCAGTCCTGCCTGTGGTGCTCACTGTGACCTGCTTTCCTATTGGTTTAAAAAGAGGGGAGCTTCCCTGACAGTTTTCCGATTTTTGGAATGACATTGGTCGGTTTGTTCTGCTCTTCTCATGATTATTTAGGCATAACTATAGCACTGCTTCACTAATTACACTTTTTGGGTGGTGAATAAATATTGCTCAGCAAGGCAAGCAGCTACTTGGTTTATTAAAAGATCTGAAAACAAAAGGGATGTTGAAATTCTTATCTGCTTTTTAGTATTTAGGCCTCCAAAGTAATTGGATACTGGCTTTCAACTTTTCTTCTAGCTAGAAGTTTCTGTCTAGAAACTTGATGCTTTTTTAGAATAAACAGAGTCAGAAGTCTGACTCCAGACACCAGTATCAGATGACCTGCGTTACGAGTGGGGACTTCAGTGTTGCTGACTTCCAATGTTTTTCCAGATAGTAGCAGCAAAAAGGGCTTACACCAGCTCTGTGTCACAAAGGCTCCTCTCTGATCCAGTCCAACTCACTCTGCAACACCCTTGAAGATGACTAAGTCACCTTCCCAGCTGCACTCAGATATTGTGAATGGTACAGGCTGTCAAACTAGATAATATTTCTATATTCTTGTCTGTGATGGTAATTTTGCTCATTATTTTCTCCTCTTTGACAAAAAGAGCTGATTTGATAGTTGAATTTTAAAAATGCACACCTGCTGAATTGGTAAATTTTGAGATAATTTCAGTGTAGTACTGAGAATACCGACTTTTGTCACAGAACAGACATAACAAGGTACTATTGACTCTGACATTTCAGAAAACTATTTGTAAAAGAGAAATTCATTTCAGTCTTTGCTCTAGTTATCAGTGAAGAAGTGACAACCGAAAAAGCAACATGATAAGAGTTGCCTGCTGCACCCTTTCCAAGTGAGAAAGGGTGAAAGGTACTTGATCCTGTAGGATCAAGTTGGAGTAGTGATACACACATGATGAAGAAAAATCATGCAGAAAATAAGAGACTTCTTTCAAGGCCACTCTCTGCATTTTTGTGACTCAGGTGGCACGTTTCTGTTTCTCCAGCAATGCCATCGGTCCCCTCGTCGCACTCTGGCTTATCTACGAGCAAGGTGCTGTAATGCAGGAAGCATCAACTCCCATCTGGCTGCTGTTCTATGGAGGTGTTGGGATCTGTGTGGGCCTCTGGGTCTGGGGAAGAAGAGTTATCCAGACTATGGGTAAAGACCTCACTCCAATCACACCATCGAGGTAGGTCCACAGGTGTCATTGTGGTTGTGTGAACTTTGTGTGTGAGGCAATCTGAGAAATTGCTGCTCCAGTATTTGGTTTGTAATGCAGTTTGCTGGATTTGCTGTGATTTGATTTTAATGATAACCTGGCTTTGATGTCTCTGTCTTTCTAAAAAAAAGTGAAAGAAATAAGTGAAAAAGGAGAAAAAGAAAGCATAAGAAAAAGAAGGAGAGAGAGGAAAAAAGATAACCCTGTAATACTGAATGTGTTTAAGGCATAGAGGTCTGCAGGAACAGACAGCAGTACCTAATTAGCATGGTAGAAGGTGCATTTGCCAATGGCGAGATTACAGTGGCTTTCCCAGTGTGCTTGAGACCATTAAACTCATATGTATTCATTACAGTAATTTTTGTCTTTAATGCATACTCGACCTCTGCTGGTGCTTAACTGAATTACTAATTAGGCACGATTCACCACAGCATAGAGTAGTGAAGGTCTCTGACGCAATGAGCCGTGCAGACGGGGTACTGCAGATGACTGTGCTGTTCCCATTATTCAAGAACTTTCTTGTTCTCTTAACTTACTCACATGACAAAAATCACTTGGAGATAAAACAGTCGAAAGAAGAAACGGGTAAGACTTTGGCACGCTGCATGGTATCAGTCCGAGCTGATGCAAAGAGTGATTGTGAAGTGTTTTCTTATGCTTCCCGCAGTGGATTCACTATTGAGTTGGCTTCGGCGTTCACAGTTGTGGTAGCTTCCAATGTTGGACTTCCTGTCAGTACTACACACTGCAAGGTATGCCTTTGCCCAGCGACTGCAGTCAAGGCAGTCTGGACTATTCATCTTAAAATTGTGCTGCTCGAGCCAGGGATAATGGCACGGTGAGGGGAAAACAGCCGCTGACAGAGGATGGTTAGGTAGGGGTGCATCAGCACATCTTGGTCACGCCAGCAACGTGGGAAAGTAATCAGGCTTCCAGAAAATGCATTGGAGTTGTCACAGTAAAGTCACTGGAATTGGCCACAGAATAAACTCCATAGTTGCTGGTGAAGAAAAATAGTGCTTACAAAAGCCTGACCTCAATTTAAAAACAAATGATTGTGAGGAAGAGCCTGGTTTCCTCTGAGAGTGCCATTTGAACTTGGTCGGGTAACATTTCTCCCTTGTTCAGAGGCTGCGCACCATTCATCATTTATATTTGACTTTCTTGATAAGTGCATGGCATGGGATTTCCTGCATATAACTCTTTTACTACAGGTTTTCCATCTGTCTTTTTTTTTTTTTTTTATTTCTTCACAGTGGATTTTGCATTGAAGTAATGTGTGCGCTAACGGTACTTGTAGCCTCAAATGTGGGTATTCCAATAAGCTCCACCCATTGCAAGGTATTGGAGTTTGCAGTGATACTATCAGTAAATCACATCACTAGGACAAACCATAACAAAATCTGGGAGATACAGACTGTTGCAGATTGCCTTCACTGTGCCTTGCCCTGCAAACTGTGACCACAAAATAACGGGGCCCGCTTTCAAAGGCAGTACAGCCAAGCAAAGTCAGCATTATGACTAATTGCACAAAAGTCTGGACTGTCTTTCACCCTTACATGGTTGTATTGAACTAATATAGACATATTACAATAACATAGGTTTGTAGTCTGTGTGAACCCAGTTAAGTGTATTTTAAAACCACCTGTATGAAAAACACTGCTACATTATTAAGCTAATATTTTAATGTCTCTCTTCTTTTAAACCAACTTGTCCTCACTTTTGTGCATTGTAATACAGAATCTGGCCCTTGTAATTAGTCCTTTGAACAAGGTACATTGCTTTCTTTTTTTTTTTAAAGACCACTTTATAGTACATTTATAGGCTGAGTAATGAGCACAGTTTAATTGTGTCATGAAGACATATAGCTTGTAGAAATTAGGGAGCATGTGGACATTTACACTTCTGGAAGAACGAATAGGAATTTGGAATTTTGTTCCCTTCTCAGGACAAATAGCCCATCTTTTTTCCTTTGTTACTCTCAAGCTCTTGGACACGCAGAGCTGTTTGTTTCTTTCACCCTCTGGCAGGATGTAGGGAAGCCCCTCCAAAATCATAGACCCCAGAATGGCAGTCCCTCCATGTCACTGCATGCCACCAAGACCAAGCCCTAAAAAAAGACAGTCCTTGTAGGATTCACTGCTGCACCCTGGGGACCTTGGAGCCCCAGGCTGGGGCTGGGACAGGCAGGTTTCTGGGGATAACTGCTCCATGGCATGGCAGGCAGACTGGCAAGAAGCCTGGCAGCCTTGCCAGTGACATTGACCTGCTTTCCAGTAAAAGAGTCAATGAAATCCACACATCCTACAAAATGTCCAAAGTTGGTTCAATTGGCCTTTTTCTAGTGCAAACCACTTCTTCAGAAAGCCTTCCTCTATTGCAAAATCATTTATTTCTTCTACCCTGGTGCTCTTTGAGAAGCGGCCAAGACTGAGCCGCTCTGAAAGGCTGTTCAGATTTCCTGGCATTGACAGAACTCTGGTTCCTCTGAATCAAGCAGGGAGGGGAAAAATAATAACAATGTTATCCACTTCTAAAAATGCTAGCCTGAAACCACCTCCCTTTAGGCTGACTAGTATATCAAATGCATGATGAAGAATTTGCCAGGAAGAATAATACAGCTTTGATTATCCCAGTTGCGTGCCTGAAACACTTCTAGCCAACTGTTGTAAAAGAGAAAACATACTTTGGTCCAAACAAATAGACTGAATTTAAAAAGAAAATGTCTTGGAAGCCAGAAGCTAATGAGAGGGGTATTCATTCACTCAATGCAGCTAAAAGCTTGGTCTTTTCTAACTGCAGAGCAAAATAGTTCTTTTTTAAAAAAGAACTTCTATAAAAGCAGCTAATGTGGTTAGTCTGTGTCTGCTCCCTGTAGCTTGCTGTATCTCATTAGATGGATCATTCTTAATGGGAAGATCCACTTTGCAATAGGATTAGACTATTCCAGGGATGTCATGTTATTATAACTGTCTCTGTGTTTCAGCAAAATGATATCCTTACTTGAAAGATCCTAAGTGAGCAGCACAAGATAATGCAAACACTTGTAACTGATGTATTCTTGTATTCCTTGTTTTCTTTGAGGGCCCAGGGAAGAAATAAAAGAACTGTTAAATTTATCATTTGCTCCATGTGAAAATGCCTTGCTGAAAGTGCTGTCAATCACTGAGTCAAAAATGCCTTCTTAAAAATCAGCAGAAAAATTATTTTGCCTTAGAAATACAAAAGAAAACAGGTTTGAGGTGAGCCTAATCTTGAGCCTCCAGCATCAAGGATTGGGAATTATTCTTCTCAGTATTTGCTCCACTGCAAAATAGCATTTGCTTGAGTGGAGGCCCTACTGGAGGGGTGTCAGTCAACTGAATGTGCAGCAGCTGGATAAATATGGCAAATAAGGAGCAGCATGAAACAGATGAGGTGAAGGGAAACCTTTTTGAGGGGAAACAGTAGACTGTAATGAAAAATGAAGACCAAGTATGAAGCTCTAAGCAGCAGTTTTCAGATCTTGCAGCAGATGTGGAAGCAAACTAGAAGTTGGTAGCAGGAATAAAAGCATTTAGCTTCTGGGGAAGGTTTGTCAAGCCCTCTCAAGATCATGACCTGCCTTTGGTCCTAAATCATAGCTTTTGGTCTACATGAGGTGGTCACTGCCTGATGTGCCTGTCCTACATCTATGGCCAAGCAGCTCTTTCACTCTCAATGCCTGCTGAGATCCTGAACTGCACTGTCTTTGCAATAGATCCAAGGAGGGGAGGAAAGACCCTTGAAAGCCTCAAAGTCAAGAGGGTTTGTAGGAAAGACCTTATCTTTTGAGCCTCCAAAGGAATTTGTGGGTCTGGATGCAGTAGTCACATTGCTCTGGCTGCACCAGTTCAACCTCCTCTGGGATTTAGCACTGAAAAGCCAGTGTGGTGTGAATGCATATCTTCCCTTTCTGCTGCCCAGGTGGGCACATGATAATTTTGAGTCTTAGAGTGCCTGTTATTTGTTCTCAGACTGGAGATTTAGAAATAAGCATTTTTTAGCTGTAACAGAGTGTGTTCATGTACAGATAAATTTAGAGTGCAGCAGTTAAATGCTTTTCCTCTGCAAAAGTGACTTTGCTGAGGTCATTCTGTCAGCTCCATTCTGCCATTATGATTTTGCGGTTTTGAAAAATATTCTCCATTGCTATGATTGAATTATCATGTTCTGTGTTCTTATTATACAGCATTGCACAGGAACAAGAGAGTCAAAAGCATTTCTGTAATGCTTTAAGCAGAGCATACTGAAGGCAAACTGCACTGGTTTCAAACCAATCTCAAAGTAGATACCATCTGAAATTCTACAGAAGGTGTAGTGTGCCTACACCCAAGGATTAGCTACTCTCCTAACCTCTAGTCCATCCAAAATCACTATTAATAAACTAAACTTTAATAATATTTAAAACAGATTGCCAATGCCATCATTGCTGATACCATTTAAATTTCAGGAAGGACTCGGAGATTAGCATACGTACACTGCAGGCTTGCTCAATAAGTAATGCTTCTTGTTGCAAGCATGACAGACAGATGCTGAGGACGCACAAAATGTAAAGCTGAGCCTAACAGCTGAGCTGCTGAAAACCCAAATGCTGTTTCCTCAGGTTAATGCTTTGATGTAGTCACAAGTGTTGGGTCCCTCTTCACCTAGATATGCCTCCACCTCCTAAATACACTTATGCCTCCTAATTGCAGAACAGCATATTGTTCACTCTAGGAGTATTCAGATGAAATATTATCAAACAGATTTCCTTACTGGGTCAAACTTTTCAACAGAGGACTTAGTGGTCATAGAATATCAAGTTTAGTTTTCCCTTCTTCTGTTAGGGTCTTCCACAAGTAACTCTTCTCCAAAAAATGAATGTTAAACAGTAGCTAAACAGGTGTTAGCAAAACATGCAGATTTGATATCCCCTTGCTATCTTTCCCTGATTCCCTGTATTCCTGGCACGTATAATTTTCCTGGCTCTGCGCAAGGGGAGCAGCCCATCTTTTGATCTATAGGCAGGGACAGATACTCCCATTAAGAAAATAAGCAGGGAGGCAGGGATGGCACTTCAGGGAGCACCTGCCCAGCTGTGTCTTGGAGTTTCCTTACCTTCAAAACAGGATATTTCATCCACATTTCTTGCTGCTTTACCATGCACTTTGAATAGACTTACACTGTTTTGCTAACAGCATGGAAAGCACTTCCAGGGCAGAAAGAAAACGTAGTCTTTCTGATATTTTTGTGTCATTTTTCATTGAAAATGTTTTTCTCAGTCCAGTTTCTTTTCTTAAAAACTGGTATGCTGGGTTTATTCCTGAGCTTATGAACTGAAAATACCTTTGAAGGAAGAAAAGGTTGCAGCATTGGCCATAACACAGTGTGTTTTTGTCTACAAAACCACTGACCTACCCAGCTGCCCTGGTAGTAGTGTCTTTGAAGGATATCTTGGTGTTTTATCCATTCCCCACCATCCTCTTGATATGTGAACAGCTAGTGTACCCGGTAATATAGTCTGGTGCCTTTGTCTGCAGGACAAGATTTTCGTCCTGGATGCTTTGCTTGGCTAGCTGTTCCAGAAGAATTTGTTTCCCTCACAGGGCTCAGATTGATGGGTTTGATGTACTGGGTCTAAGCCTGCACTGCCTTTCTGCCCCCTGCCAAGTCACCATCACTGCCACAGAGTGGGCTCAGCTACTTTTAGCTTGCCACTGCCATCCTGTTTGTAGCCTGCAGTATTGGAATATGGATGTGAGGTTTTGAATCAGCACTGTATGCTGGGCTGGGAGCTGCACAGAGAGGCTCAGCAGGGGCTGGGTGAACAGGCAGGGCATCCCAAGCCAGCAAGAGGACAGGCAGATGGGACAGGAACTAGCTGTCTTGGCCTGCCCCATGTGATGCTCTCCTGCAGAACCTCAAAAACAGCTTTCCTGGTGTTTTCCTGATTTAAACTGCAATCAGGCCAGAGCCATTGGACACTTGTTCTCTCCCCTGTGGACTGAGCCAGGTGGAGGGCTGCCTCAGTTGCCCTGAAGGCTCATGTAGGAATTAGCAGGGAAGAGAAAAACTCACCAACATATTTTATTGCCTTTGGCAGACGCCAAGACCCATGAAAAATAGGACAACATTGAAAAACAAAGGTTTAAGTACCCTGAAAGTTTCACCTTCCTGTCACCACACCAGAACAGTGCCATTGTCATCCTCAGGGGCTTCTTTATCTCAGAGCATCACTTGGTATCAGCTGACTGGCATTGGTGTGGCCCTGGGCATGTTGCAGGTGCTCAGACCTACCCCTCACACCTTGTCTCCCTCTCTCTTCCCCACGCTCCCAAGGTTGGCTCCGTGGTGGCCGTCGGCTGGATCCGCTCCAAGAAAGCCGTCGACTGGCGCCTCTTCCGCAACATCTTCCTGGCCTGGTTTGTGACTGTGCCGGTGGCCGGCTTGTTCAGCGCCGGCGTGATGGCACTGCTGATGTACGGGATCCTGCCTTACATTTGAGGAGCTTCCTCTGCTGGGAAAAGGGGAAATGGCCGAGCTACTACCGATGGGAGAAGCGTTCCCGTGAAAGAAGCAGTCGGAGAGGATCCATCTTCCATACCTAACTTCTTATCTACTGTACATAACAATGTGTCATATTGGTGACATGGTGATGTGGTGCCATTTCTTATATATTAAAGAAATATATATGCATATAGTAGGTAACAATACCTAAGTTATATCATCAGTGGGGTGAAAATAATTGCCTAGAACTTAATATTTAGTAAAATTTGTACATAGTGTATCATTTTGGTGGCTATTTTTTAATCTTTTGAAGAAGAGTATGGATTAGGAAATGTTTCTTGTCCATTTGATATAAGAAGAAGCGAGGTACAGGACTGCGTAATACATGACTTTTTTAAAGCTATTAAGATACTGGAACAAAATAAAATGTGCAGAAGTGCTTTTCATAAAATAACTTTGTTCATATCATATTGATTTTCGTGTATCATAGCGTGATGGTTATGGCTGTGTAAATACTTATGAACAGTAACTTTTAAATGGTGCATTTCCCTTATATATTTTGGATAAGAAAGTTTAGGAAGTACCAAAGAAGCAGGGGAATAGCTTGCCGTTACTATGTTGTTGTCTCCACGTGTGTTGTGTTTCCCCACCTCTGATTCAACAAGCTCCGGCCAGTGAGGCTGGGATAGTACTGTTCATGTCTTAATGTAACTTAAAAAAAAAAAAGCGCACACAAAAAATTAGTTCTTGTACTTAGTAGGCAGCCCCTGGCTCTCCACATTAGCTGACAGTAGACTGACTTCATTTTGTGGGTTGATACTTGAGTATCTCACCTTCTACCTTTCCCCTTCAAGTCTCAGCTCCTGGTTGCCCTGCTCTGGATTCCTGCGGGAGGACGGACCATCAGCCTCCCTCCCTCCTCTCCATGCAGACACAAGCACACTCTCAGGTACAGGAGCGGGGCCGTGGAGCGCACGGCACCCCCGCGTACGGAAGCGAAGGGCAGCAGCGGGCGGGAGAGGGCTCAGCCCTCGCTGTGTGCTTGGAGGTAATGGGCACCCACAGGAGTGTGATCCATGCAGGGGAGGACGTGAGCAGGTGCTGCCTCCCCCCTGGCAAGTCTCACAGCCAGCCAGCCTCCCGCTGTGCCGCCTACAGCAAGGAGCGGACGGGAGCCTGGCCCTGTGTGGATGGAGGTTGAATGGTAATCAGCATTTGGGATGAGATTTTTTTCATGGCAGCTCAGGGGAAAATGGCTAGCTACATCCCCTGGATGCCTTTGGAAAGCACATTTGAATGAAGGTTACTGATTTATGCATGAGAGGCAAAGGGCAAGGGGTGCCCAGAGGAGGTTGGGAATCTGTTACTGTTTAAATGCTGCTAAAATTTTGATAAAATGTTCTTGGTACTCCATTGTGATTTTTCCATTGGTCATTCATACCAAATTTATAATAAAAATATAAACAGCCCCTATAACTGCCTCTTGCGTTTTTGGAGTGTTACTCGGCTGTAACGGGAAGGCTCCCCAGGCAATTAAAACCTACTCCTTGGCATCTGCCGCCCTTTGTCCTTTGTCTGCTGTGGTCAGTGGGATCAAACCATGCTCTGTTGGCGCTGACAAAACCTCCCTTTTCTTCCTGCTGTCCTGGCAGCCCCAGTGTCCAGCCTCACTCTGCCCAGGCTTGGTCACAGGCGTCTCTCCGTCGAGCTTTGGGAGCTCGTGGGCTGCTTCAGCCGCATTCCCTGGGCACTCGCTGCCTCCAACTGCCTCCCTCACTCTGGCTCTCTTTCTGGGGCTCTGGAAGCATCCCTATTGCCATGGCACCGTGGTGCTCAGTTTCCAACCCCTCTGAAACACTAGAGCTGTGGTATAAATAGTGCTGGCAAATGGGTGGGACTGGTGGGCAGCAGCTGAATGACCAGAGCAGTCGATAAATGCACAGAGACAATTTGGGACTTGTGGAAAAGAGTGGAAGAGCTCACCTTATCTTCGCACTTGCATAAATAAATGCCTGCCCAGTGGCCCAGCAGCTTCCCACCTTGTTTTATCTACAGAGACAAACCAGAGTTCTCTCACTCCAGCAGCAGGGACAAAGGCAGCATGCAGAGGACTGTGCCAGCTCTGGGGGTATGTGATAATCCCCCAGCACACACAGCTGGGTGTCTGTCAACACACACATATATAAATAAAACTGCTGTGAGGGAATTGGCTGGCAAGGAAGCATCTCCAAAATATTCCTGCCCCAGCTACAATAACCTTCAATGTGGAGGGAGATGGAAAATCCAAAGCAACTTTCTTCACACCACAGAGGTGTCCTTTGCCACCCCAGAGAAGAAGAATCTGTTCAACTGGTGAAACATGGTCAAATATGGGCACAGTTACAACTCCATTTGCTCAGGCAGCAATCAAAATAGGTCTATTTTCAGCTGAAGAGATGGTGGGTTGGGGGGTTTGCATTTTTTCAGCAGCATCAGAGCTCAGTGGGGCTGGAGAGCTGAGCTTGTTTAGCCAAGGCCTGTTTAACAAGCAGATGCTGATAGACCTCGACAGAGACATGGGATCTTGGTGCCCTGCAGGGCTGCCCTGTCCCCTGACAGCTCTTCCCACCGTGGTTCACATCAGGGCTGCAGCCCTCCCGGCAGGACACAGGACAGCATGGGTGGCATCAGACAGACCTTGCTGTGTGCTGGAGAGAAGTGTGCACAGGCTGCTGGGGCTGCAGGAAAACTGAACACAAAAAACAGATCAGGAGTCAGGAGAGACAGAAGGCTGATAGAAATATTTTTTCCAAGTAGAAACTCTTTTAGCTGATGAAATGCAACCTGAATTTCAGAAACCAAAGTGTCTACTGGCCCTCATAGACCAGTGGTAAATCTTTGTCTCAAAGCAGCCTGAGGAGAGCCAGCTGGCAGAGTGAAGGTGCTAATAGACTAATTACCCTCATCAACCTCTCCTCCTACCTCCAGCTTTCACCCCACTACCAGATTTTATGGTTTGCCCTGGGAGCTGCTTTGCCTTTGCATGTCTGATGGTCACTGGGATGCTGCTGGGACATGTTATAGCCACTAGCTCTGCTTGTGCTGCTCGGCAAAGTGCTTTGTGGTGGTGAAGATGCTGTGGCATGGTGACCTGTGCATCCTGGTCTGTTGTCCCCAGCAGAACAGCCCTGTTTTGCCAGCTCCCTGCTGGTGGTCTCCCACCTCCAAGGTGAGTGTCCTGTGTGCTCACGACTGCTCTGACTGGCTGAGCACCCCTTGGAGCAGGAGCTCTGCCCATGCCACAGGCACTGAGGTTTGTTCTGGAGCTTGTGGGCAATGTGTGGTGAGAAAGGCTGGGAAATGCAGTGGGGAGGTGCATGGGGCAGGACAAAGCAAAGGGGCCTTTTGCTTGTGGTAGAGAGACACCTGGGCTGCTTTGTGAGATATCCCATCCCAGGCCTGGGGACCTAGATGCTCCTGGACTGCAAGATTATGCTGATGGACAGATCCACAGTTTTGGAGGGCAGAAGAGTGTTTGCATTAGTGTCCCGTGCTTTTGCTTCTCTAGAGAAGGTAGATAATGGGGAAAGTGGTTTGTTCTGGTTTTGGGTTTCTTTTTTTAAAGTTTAAGGACACCTGGTTTTGTGTTCCTCCTTCTGTGGCACTTGCTTTAGTGACACTGATGATTGGTTTGATGGAGCTTTGACTCCACCTGCTGGGTATCGCAAAGAAGTCTGAACTGGAGTAAGATTTTTATTGCCAATGTGAAGCTTTGTGAGCCTCCTTTTTCTAAGCAGTAAAGCAGAACAGAAAAGGATTATATGTAACAAAAACGTGGACTGTGCTCTTTCTAGGTGAAAATTGTAAATACCAAATACTTAGTTATTTATAATTTAGTTATTATAAATAACTAAATATTGCACACTCAGTTTAATTTCCAGTATCCTAGGTTCTAGGAGAAAAAGGTATTACTGTTGCACTGAATTTAATTACATTTTCATACCGATTGATATGAGAAGATTTTTCTTGCAAAAGTAACTAATGTGTCACTTGAGTTCTTAAAACTAGGCTCTTTTTTTAAAGCATTCACTGGCCTTCTGCAGTGGTACTATTTTAGCACTGTATTGATGAGCAAACACTTTGTCCAGGGGTAGCACTGGTCTGAAAGATTTTATAAGCATATTACACAACTTATTCAAGTAATTGCAGTTTTCAAGAGGGTATTATTTTTCCAAAGTGAAATAGTATTTTTAACTTGTACAAATATGCTGTGCTGCTACCAGCTTTCAGGTGCAGAGGTTTTTTTGTGTGAGAAGGTGAATGCAAATAACAAAAGCTTGTTTCCTTCCTTGACTGCAGCCAGCTTCAAAACAAAGTCAGAGCCTGGAAACCAAGCACAAACAATGTCTGGGTTTCGTGGCTCCTTGCATCTGCCCCAGCTGACACTAAACATCCAACTTCAGAAAGATGACTTCTTATCTGATAAACCCTAAATTCAAGGATGTGACATGTGCTATTGCAGTGCAAATATTTACTATAGATTATTATTAATTGCTGTGATTCAGGAAGAGAAAAAGGAGTGGCAGGTGTCCAGCTGATGGCCAGTCCTCCTCATTGCCCTGTTGCAGTCAGCCCCTGGATGGATCTTTCCACATGATGGCACAGTGCATGCCAGCACCTTTGCTGTGAGCAGCTCATGCAGCTTACACAATTCAAGTTGCTGCTGAAGAGCTTGTTTCTGGTCTCTCACTGTAAGGACAGCTGGGGTTCTCTGCCTCTGAAAGCTAACTTCATTCACCAACTAGGGATACTCCACCAGTCCATATCCTTCCCCTGGCAGGAAGGAAGAAGTTGCTTGTACCTGCAGATCAAGTTGCCAGTGACAGGGAAAGGTGAGGAGGGTGTAGTACACTGCTCTTATGTAAAATAGGAAGATGGTTCTAAGTGGAAAAAGACTAAAGCATTTTTGGATGATACTAAAACTGCTTTCTGACTGTGAGAGGATTTCTGATCTTTTTTGCTGAAGGGGAAAAATATAGGAAGGTTAATCAGAAAATGTTACCTTGCTATCTTGATGTACTTTGTAATAGATGTTCTTTTCTTGATCTTGCAAGATAATGTTGAGAATCCTCTTAATTCCTATGGAAAATGGGCACACCTGGAACTGCTGAAGGTTTCTGGTCTGAATAATTTTCTATATTGCCTGATTTTTCCACTCATTCTTGCTTCTCATGGAATCCTGATGATCTCTGCAATGGAAATTGCATGCGACATGTCTTTCACACTCATGAGGCTTATCAAGGTAAAGCTGACAATTCCTCTCTTCTCAGTCTCTGACTGCATGAAGTCTTGGCTGCTTTCTGACAGCTGACTGCTTCTGTTTCCCGTGAGAACAGAGATGCTTTGTTGCACTGATAAAGTGCCTGTCAGTGCTGGGGTCAAGTGCTGCTCAAAATACACCCAAATACAAACCAATGTGGACCTGGCACAAGAAATTATGAAAGGGAACTTGAGGCTAGACCCAAGGACCATGAAGAGCTTGGTCACTTTATGGGGACAATGTCACAAATTCAGTTCTACGGACAAGCTTTGGATGGTATACAAAGGTGAATGCACCTGGATTTTTTGGG